CTGCGGCGGCGAGCTGCGGGCCTGCGGGGCCACGGCGGGGTGTGCGCGAGCGGGCGACGGGCGGCTGCAGCAGCGGGCGCGTCAGCGAGGCGCACAGGCAGCGCGCGGGCAGCGTGCGGGGCCGCGCGTAAAGAAAACAGCCGCGCGCGTGCGGCTAGCGGGGCGCGCGCAGCGAAATCGACCGCGCGCGGGCGGCTAGTGGGATACGCGCGCAAAAAAAAAAAAAAGTCGAGTCGCGCGCGGGCGGCTGGCGGGCTGCGCGCGCGCGGTAGGTAGGAGGCGCACGAGGGCGCGTAGGCGCACGAGGCGCACGGTAGGTAGGTAGGTATGTAGGTAACGGTGGGCCCTAAGAACGGTCCTAGCGAAGGACCTGCTCTGAAACCATGTCAGAAATAACGGACTGGAATGATGGACTAGCAAGGATGGTGAGTACAAATATGAAACCCTAATGTTGTGACCCCCCTATAGGCTAACCCACTACAGCCTACACAAATACAACATGTATAATGTTTGACAGTAGCTTCACGTCATATGTGGAGGGCACAGGCTGCGAAAAATGCTTCTTTCTCGCCTGCAAACAGTACACACACGTAACGTTAGAGCTTGGTTAGTCAGATGAGCGTTCCCCACCTCAGTGACTTACCACCCGCGAGGCTTCACCCACACTTGTGACATTGCTGTCGACGTGCTTGGTAGCTTCTGGGTATAGACGATACAGCTGGAAATAAAAGTCAACATTGTGTGACTTCCATTAACCCTGCACATGAAAATCAATCCTGAAACACGATGACTACCAGAACAACAGACATGAAAACGTTATCGTTAGAGGCTGGATTCCAGACAGCATGGGACAAGAAGGCGCATGCTGAAAAGCTCAAACAGAGGCACAGAGAGACCTTTGTGCGAGTACCACACCCTCCGCGTTCTCGCGCTGAAGACGGCGCCTCCCCTACAATTCGCGGGCCGAAGATCCTACGCATGCAGTGAACATGCCGACGAGCAGTATTTGGAGGCTACGGACAAAAAGAAGCGCAACTGCTTAATTTAAAGAGGGAATGGGAGGATTGGCAGGGGCGGAAAAACATGTACAAGCCACTAGCCATGGCGGAAGGTTTGCACACATATCGGGAAGATACGAACATGTCGATTGCTCGCGAAGCATAACACGTGTGAATAGATGAACGAGTGGAAACATTAATACGAGTTACAGCCTAAGGCACACGCGAGGGGAAATGATAGCTAGGTCTCGAGTTACAGAAAGCATGTGTTGCACACCTTTCGGCACTTTTCGCGCGGAACCCGGCGACTCCGTTTTTAGTCGCTGGTGCCACGTTCTCCGCGTGAAGAAAACGCTGATGGTTAATCTGTAAAGGGAAAGGGGAGGTTTCGCAGGGGCAGAAATGATAACATTGATCTGAGTTACAAGCAGCGGTGATAAAATTCCCTAAGAAATAGAGGTGACATGGCCTTCGGGTAGACGCTAGTTGTTGCGTAAGACACTCAGAGGCAGGAGATGTGGGCGAGAATTGAATAACATGAGTCATTTGTGCGGAGAGTCACTACACAACGGGAGTATACTACGGAGGAAGGCACGGGGTTGTGTGGGTGATCGTAGCGTTGCACTAGGCGTTCTCACTGCTTGCTATGTTCGTAGAGAGATATGGCAAGAATTCCACTAAGAAATTGAAAGAACATTAGATTACAATGAGGCATGCAAGTCGATATAGCTAGAATGGCATTGCAACACCTAGCAAGCCCTCTGCAAGGCGAACTATGCCAGCGCTGCAGAAGCGCGGCTTGCCACCGCTGCAGCAGAGTAGTCTGCCAGCGCGGTATAGCTGCGGTCTGCCAGCGCGGTATAGCAGCGGTCTGCCAGCGCCGCAGAGGCAGGTGAACTTCTGCGCATGTGCGCACCTACCAAGTAGGTGCAGGTAGACGGACGCGCCGCCAGGCACATTGCACAGGTGCCAGGTAGAAAACGTGCCGATGGTTTCGCCAGCAATGCACCGTCGAGCACGTGATGCCATTCTACACGCACACACACACGCGCACACACACGCGCACACACACGCGCACACACACGCGCACACACACGCGCACACACACGCGCACACACACGCGCACACACACGCGCACACACACGCGCACACACACGCGCACACACACGCGCACACACACGCGCACACACACGCGCACACACACGCGCACACACACGCGCACACACACGCGCACACACACGCGCACACACACGCGCACACACACGCGCACACACACGCGCACACACACGCGCACACACACGCGCACACACACGCGCACACACACGCGCCCACACACGCGCCCACACACGCACACACACACGCCCACACATACGCACACACACACGCACGCACGCACGCACACACGCACGCACACACGCACGCACGCACGCACGCACACACGCACGCACACACGCACGCACACGCACGCACACGCACGCACACACTCACGCACACACACACGCACACGCACACGCACACCCACACGCACACCCACCCACACACACACACACATACACACACACACAAATAAATATACACACAAGCACACACACACACACACACACACACAACACACACACACACACACACACACACACACACACATACACACATACGCACGCACGCACGCGCACAGAGATACACTCTCAGACAGGGACAGCTGAATTCACGATTGTTTCAGACAGGGGCAGCATATGCAGAGAGTCAAACGTGTACGCCGAGCTCTGAAATGAGACTGCTAGAGACTGGAAAAGTGTTGTGCAAGATGTGAGCAAGGGTTGTACAATAATGGGTTTTGTGTTATGGTAGTTGGAAACGCTGTATATTTGTTAATATTTAGCGGGAAAGTACATCGCAGCTCCACAGTTTCAAAAATATCTCAATTTTGATCCCGAGTTTACCCAAAAAGTCCAGCTTTGCGGAATTCTGCTCACGCGAGGCCCAAAGTATGTTCAAAACTGGTCCTGCGGGGCAGAAATTACGAAACGTGTTCATTTCGTGCAAGGTTTTTATACGGGGCAAACCAAACATAATACCCCTAGGGAACGGGACACAATTTGGGTAATATATTGCACTGCCTGCGTAAGCAGGCAGTGCAATCGAGTCAGCAAGCTGATCGGGGGCAAGAAAAAAAAACTAAAACCCTCTCGGATGGGATGCCATCCGAGGGAGCCTCAACCCTAAAATTTTAGGGTTGATGCTCCCGAATGGCATGCCGTAAGCCAAGGGGTTTTTTTTTTGCCCGCGGGATACATTTCGGGAGGGATCAACCCTAAACACCGGGCGGGTTCCCGTGTTTAGGGTTGATCCCTCCCGAACAAGTGTCCTGGTTTCCCCAGGGGTATTACTGTTTTTGTGCCCAGTCAAAATTGTAGATGTGAAATAGACACGTGTCAATATTTGAGCCCTACAGGACCAGTTTTGAACATAATTTGGGCCTCGCGTGAGCCAAATCCCAGAAAGTGGGACCTTTCGAGTAAACCTGGGGGTAAATATGAGAGAAATCTGAAAGTAAGGATCTAGGATATAGTTTCCCATATTTAGCTATGCATCTCAATTTCAGGGCATGCAGTTCATATAATTCACTTCTTGTAGGCTCCCCCGCATCTCACGGCGATTCAAACAGTTTTTTGGGCGTAAACTACGAGAGTAGAAGGGTTTTTCTGGGTGATGTGCGCAAAGTGGCGGGTGCAGAAGGGTAGATGGTTCACGTAAATCTCAGACTGCATCGAAGGAATGATGGAATTCTGATCTGGAATACTTTTCTCAAAGCCAGACTTTCGGTGCAGATTGAGAGTTCGATGCTTACTAGGATTCCTGGTCTTGGGTTATGTCACATCCCCGTATCTAGCGCATCCTTTTCAGTTCCTAGTTCCCACAACCACTACTGAAACTGTAAACGGGTTCCCATTTCCCACAGGTCTCAGCTCGGGCAGTTATGGTGAAAAAGAAATGTGTACGGCTGGTGAAGCACCACGGCTCACGAACGCGATCAATGTTGCTCATTACCATTTGCGATTCAAGCAAACCGATTCATATCCATATTTAACGCACTAGAAACGTGCGTAACACACCACACCACCCAAGATCCACTTCGTGGTCAAGCGATTCATGCGGATGAAAAATGATTGGAACGCGTCTCAACAAGCTCCTCGATGGTGATTCGCTGAGGAGTGCGATTCGCTGGTGACTGCGCGGAGGATGAGAAATTCCGTTCCAGACCCTTCACTTCACATCCACCACAATCCGCCCTCACGCCATACAAATACCCACGCATTTTTCCTTCCCAACACCAGTCCCACATTCGAAGCTCTTGATTCACTCGCCTTCAGCTCCCTGCATCCTCTTCACTAGCTACTGGTAGTAAACATGGCGCGCCTGCTTACTGCTCTCGCTCTCCTGCTTGCCGTCACCATCACTCTCGCATCATTCGCCTCTACTGCTGCTGCTCGATCTGTTCGGCTTCCTGGCAATGGGATGACCATCGCGAAAAAGGAAAACTGTGTTTTTTGGCCTCCGAAGGTTTTTCTGCGTCGGCCTTGCGAGAATGTTGCGGAAAGCTGCGGGAAAACAACGCACTCAAATCGCAACAGTCCGCACACCAAAAACGATAGAGTACATCATACAGAAAATAGTGACTACACAGCCACAATACCGTGAAGCTTTCGAAAACCCGAATCGCACACCTACACCCCTAGTCGCTCTCCCCCTCTCCAATTTCTAGCACAAATGTCCGCGGTATTGTAAGTGCGGTTCGTCCATTCTGTCACTGTATAACTTCTTATCCCAAACAAAGTTGACTCTTACACACAAATGCCAAACATGGCTTGTAAACTCCATTCCAAATGTTCTCCCATAACAGCCACTATTACATCAACAAGACAACCCCACACCCGTCAACCAGTCGTACGGTCCCGCGCACACACAACTCCCACTACTTTGCCCCACTGCACGATCCTTGCATCACTCGTCGTCCTCAGTCTCGCGCACCGCTGGGTCTAGCACGTCCTCCGGGCGCATCCCCGCGCGCGCACGCTTGACTGGCGTCCTGCCGAGGCGGGAAATCACCTCCTGGTTAGATGCTCCGACCTCTGCTGGCACGAGGGCCGGGGGAATGCCGAGCGCGTCGGCACGCTCCACGTACGCATTTGTTACGTTGCGAATCACGCGCCGCCTGCTGCGCTCGTCACGCAGCAGTGGGCCGTCTGGCAGACTCATCTCGCCCGACGAGTCATCCGACGCGCTGGCCGCAGGTGTGGCCCTAAACCCCTGCTCCACGCAGAGTCCCGCGTCGCAGTTGACAAACTCGGCCGCCGTCATATAGCACGCAGGCCTCATCTTGAACTTCTCGATTAGCAACTGCAGCTCGACGCATATCGCAATGAGGGGCTCAAACATGCCCGTTGCGCTCGTGTCACCAAGGTACGCCATCAGTGGCGGCCAGCTCGGTGGCACGCATCCGGCGCGCCACCAGCTCCTCTGCATGGTGACGGCGCGCACGCCAGTCCACGCTTCTTCCGGCCACTCGAGCATGAGGCCATAATCCACGTCCGCGATCGAGGCCGAATAGTCGAATTGGAACCGCTTCGCCGCTATCGCACGCTTCATGAGCATAACGCGGTAATGGCCCTTCAGCGCATCCTCCACTCCCTGGAGGTGCGGAAGGCCCCCTTCAGGAACCGACCCACGAATGTTGACGATTCGGGTGTTGGTCAGGTGCTGCACACTGAAGCCGTGCTCCGTGACGGGTCGCGCGACCTCGCCTGTGATGCGATGCGCCTCGTGAATGGTTAGGATGAGGGTGTTGCGATCACGGCTGAAGTGCACACCATTGACAGTCTCCACGAACTCCGTGAACACCTGTGTGCACACCAGCAGACAGACCGCACACCACCATCAGATGTACGGTGTGCACACTTGTGATGCACACGTCAAAGACGCACGGTACACACATATTACACATTGTCCCGTACCTCCGGCGTCAACCGCCCGCGATGCGTATACCGGACAGCCACCTTGCGACATGCCGCGCTCCCCCGCCTGCGCTCGGGCCTATCGTACGGCGATAGAACAACCAGAGGCACCGCGGAACAACTCCCCGTCGCGTTGTAAAGAATGCCGACGCTGACAATCCGCTCTGCCCCAACACGCTTATCCGGAATGTACGTCTTCGGAAGCCGGCTCGGGAGAAAATTAATCTCGTGGAAGCAGAACACGTCGTCCGGGTGCGCGGTAGCCAGTATCAGAATCCCAGCCACTAACCACTGGGATAAAAGGGCTTGTTTGTATAGCGGGTGAGTGCGCCCATAACCCCCCAGGCCGACATGCCTGTAACCCTTCCCTAGGATCATCGGGGATCTCCAGTGGACCTCTGACACCCCCCCGCACTGGGATGCCCGAGGTGCACACACCGGGAATCGAACCCGAGACCTTCGCTCTGATACCATATCAGAATCCCAGCCACTAACCACTGGGATAAAAGGGCTTGTTTGTATAGCGGGTGAGTGCGCCCATAACCCCCCAGGCCGACATGCCTGTAACCCTTCCCTAGGATCATCGGGGATCTCCAGTGGACCTCTGACAGCCAGCAGTCCCTTCAGGTCACCCATTGTAGCACTCTGACAACCAGGTTGGCAATTATGCGTTGAATGCCGGAAGACCCCGTACTCTTTATGTTTCACTCTACCGGAACCTACCCCCATTTTTCCCCTGTACGCACACTGCGTACATCGGTTGACATGCCCCACACAACCAAACGACCACTACCCCTGCGCCGCTCGACGATAACGCACACATGTGAAACGCCCACCTGTTACGTTCAGACATGCCATCTCGCGTTCCCGACGCCACGTACGCGTCACCCATATCCGACCAGCCAACGGCATGTGCTCGGTCGTTCACACAACCACACATTGAAGCGCGTCAACCTCGACCGCACAAACGTCAACAGTACTCATACTCGTTATGTACCTGACATTCAAACTGCACTCACCATTGACATTCTGTTTAAACTCTTGGGTCAACATTTAGCATACGTCAACTGTGCGGCCTACCCATGCACAATTGGCCATCTGATTGCCATATACATGTGTGCACATTTAATCATCCGTGCATTTTGTGTTTCACCAACTGCAACACAAACGGTACCATGACACCATCAATTCCAGCCACAATTTCGTTTACCTACTGCATTACTGTACCCATCCATCCTGCGTTTCACACATCTAAATCGTAACACGTGTTGGTTGCCAACCTTGTGGATCAGCACTGCCGTTCCACCCCACCAACATGCATCGTCACTCACACAGCAAAAACTCGTTCACTAGTTGCACATTCTTGTTGCTATACGAAGGGCACACGTGCACCACTCTCTGCAGGCTCCTCAACTCCACCACCGAGTACCTCACCTTATCCACTTTCTTGTGCAGCTGCTTGCACCCCGTAAGCTTGCATCTTCCCGCCCCCTCATAGTACCGCACGTATGCGTACCCCTTCCAGTCCCCCTCGCGGTCAACCGCCCTGAAGATGCACAGACATCTTGCAAACCAGTCCCCCTTCTTGTTGTTCAGCAGTGCCACGTCCGAATACCACCTCTCTCGGGGAGACGCCTTCACAAATGTCCCTTTTGCCACTAGCTCTCCGCCCCTTGTGCGCGGAATGGACACCGCCGTGTGGACCTGTCACACCATGGAACCCAATCCATCATCAGATACCATCATGAGTGCAGTGACAACCAACGTGACAACCCCGGATGCGTCATGTAACGCTACCACATCATCACCTCACCTGCACGTTGTTGGTAGACAGCCCCAACGCCTTGAACTCATCTGCCATCCCCTTCATCTCGTCTCCAAGCGCGGCGGTGTACTCGTTGTACACTGGATCCGACTCCCCCCCTATGCGCATGATCCGATACTTCTTTGTAAGCACCGGTTTCCTAGTCTTGATTGCCTGCGCGTGACGCCCACATGCACACAACAAACCGCACAACGCGTGAGGCACGGCTCTTCCCTGGTAAGTCGCTCCACTATATACTCCCAATAGCCATCACCGTACCAAGGACACCCGTACTCGCCTCGCTCAATGCGGTCGCGTACTGTCGCCCACCCCCCGCGTCTGCAGCCACTTCACGGTACACCTCTCGCTGCACCTCCTCCTCCACAATGCGGCGTGGAATGTCGCTCCAGTTGCTCCCTCTTACTGGACCCTTAACCGTGCCCTTGTGCGTGCGCTCCCACATTTCCGTGGAATAATGGTGCGGCATCCCACGGTGGACAACGTTGTCCAGTAAGTGCCTTATCATGTGTATCTTTGGGAGTCTCCAGTGGGATGCCTGCTTTGGAAATGCCCGCGGTAGCAACTCCACCAACCTGCCACACCGTCCACAAAAGCATACAACACTCGATGAACCATCATGCATCCCCATCGTGTATCACACGACATTGTCCGCACAATCACACCGCACACGCTCCCAGCACCCCGACCAACCTCTCGGCGTACCCAGGTATGTACTCACGCTATCGCATGCTGACGTGCAATCGCAATTGTTGTATGTGTGTGCCTGTCAACCCCCAGAAACGCCTTGTAAAACACAGCAAACAGCCGGAACGCTTTGACCTGCAAAGCACGCAGCTCTCCCTCCTCTCCACCCTTCAATGCACTCTCGTCAACCACCAGTATCGGCATTATCTGCATCATGCTCCTATGCTCGAACGCGGCGTAATTTGCGCCTGAACTGAAGAACGCTGAGCCCCCTGGGATTCGGAGGAGAACGCTAGGCGTGATGGCCTTGAACTCCTTCTTGCGTCTGCGCACAACACGGATTCGAAGAGCTCATGTAGCTGCACACATGGTGTCCTACAAACCAACTGACCCCGGCAAGGTAGAGCATGCCCAGTTCGACCACCCAGCAACACCCGGCTCACCGTTCAAGCAGCCGCATCTCAACCTTCCCGAGCGGCTCTATGTAGGTGTCCATCATGTGGATCAGCACACCAGAGTCCAGAACATGCAGCGTGTCTGCAAGGCATGCCAGATACACGTTGCCCCACTCTGTGTCTGCAAAATTCCACCTGTGAAGCACGCACTGCACGTTGCAACGGAGGACACGACGGTGTCAAAACGTGCCCACAGGAACCCTAAACCAGTATCCTATCAAAGTCGAAACACACCTCGATCGGATGGGTTGACCACAACCTCCGCACATCGTCAGCGTCGCTTTGCTTCTTACACGCCAGGATCTGTCGGACAATGTCCCTCTGCTTCTCGGGGGTACGTGGATCTACCTTCCCCACCATCATGGTCAACTCCCCCTTGTCTGCATAGCAGTTAGCGCATGGTCGATGCGACCCTTGCTGAAGCGTCGCAGATGCTCTGCTGGATTCAGGGAAGTCGGCAGGGTATCCGTACAGGCAAGGGACCGCCTTGTGCACCTTCCCGTCCGCGTCTGTGCAGTAGAAGAAGCGAACTGGCGCGCTGCGCAGTGTACAAATGCACACATGGTGTGCAGTTAGTGATGTTACATATACACAACTCGTAGTCCTCTCTCCACTCACTACTTGATGGGGTGCCCACCACGGGCGACTCCGTGTAGCACTTTCAACACCACCCCGGTCCCCCAGTGTACCTTGCAGACTCTCGCATTATGGGCGCGAGGATGATCTTTATCGCCTCCTGGAACACGCGCGTCTTCTCCGTAGACGATGCCCACTCAGGTGGGAACGGAAGCACCGCCGCCAATGTGTGCCCAGGCTCCACTCCTCGCAATTCCGCCGGAATGTTGATAAGTGAGATCAGCACCGGCCACGCGTTCCTCCTGCCATTCCGTGATGCCTGTGTGCTGTCACTGTATATCAGCACGCCTAGAATGAGTGCATCCTCGTCATTAATCTCCTTCTGCCATGTGCACCACACGTGCCGGTGAGCTGTGGGTATTCGAAAGCATCGTACCTGTTCTACTCCACAATTAATGGGCCGAGCATAAACGCGGCGCGTACCTGGGCTGCGTGCATCCAATCACCCGTCTCCGGTCCTTTAAACACCCTCTCGTTGTTCTTCTTCCGATGAATCTTCCTTGGTTTCCAAACGAACCCCTTCTTCGATGAGAACGTCCGCACCAGCTTCTTCAAAATCTGCGGGCATCGATGTGGAATCAGGCGCGAGTTATGGTAGGTAACGAACAGTGGTCACGGGCGACACTTCATTACGACGTCGCGAGCTGGGGTGGGCTCCTATTACGAACCAGCTCTGTGTCGCGGAAGTGCAGTAGCAGCTTCATTTGCATTCCTTTGGGGCCCCGCACCACTATCTCCTCTGTTTTCCAGGGGACCATGTCGGCGGGAGCGCGCGCCATGCCCCAGCGGCGCACGTCCACCCAGTTGCGCCATCGTCTGAGGGCCCGTAGGTTGAAGCGCGGATTGCGGAATATGTGTAGCAGACGGTTAACCTCCCTGTGCGAGAGATCGGCGTCCCTAAAGAAAATGTACAACTCCGTCAGTGTATCGAAAATCTCCGCCCTCACGCTGTCTTCTGAAGACCCTGCATGTTCGCCCTCAGCTGGTGTATCCTCGTCTCCAACAAGACTGACTTTGGGGATCGAAGCCGTTGGAGCAACAGATATAAAACTGCCATCATTCTCCTTACGCCGGGAGGCCGGCGGTGTGTTAGGTCTGCTCTCTCCGTCGCATGCAAGGGCTTCCAAATATGCAGCTAGCAAAAGACTCTCTCGTTTCCTCTTCAACTCGGCGCGACAAACTGCACCATTGGCGACATGAGACTGTAACCTGCTGTCGTCTTGAAACACCGTCTCGCACACCAGGCAACTGTTGCCCGTCATCCTACAGCCGTGAAACCCTAGGTGGCCGAGCAATCGAAACCCTGTTCAGTACCTCATGTGCACACTAATAAAACTCACAGGAACAACTTATCGCCCACACATGTGCAGGAAGACGATGAAATGTGTGCAGGAAACAACGGGTCATTTGTTACACGATAATCAATGTACACCCCAACATGGCGGTTTGCTAATTTCTAAAAGCAGTCTAACGGGTGCAATTATTTATTGGAAAAAAATATTTATGTCACGATGTGTCGAGAACCAAGGACTGATTATTTGTACATACAAACCACAACGACCCCAAAGTTGTTCTGCGATTTCACCGGCAATGTCGCGCAATGCACGTGTACACCCACACCTTTTTACATATCCATAAAAATATATCAAAACATTGAATAAACGCGTATACCAATACACGATTATCCCATCCCATGGCACAACTGCGGATTCCAAACGATGCTCGGCGCGCCCTAATAACACAACGACCCATGTGCCCCCTACCGCGTACGGGGACATCGGAATCTGCGTCAGTCGGAATGTACAAGAAAATCGCACCACAACTGGCCAAACCACCATGCACCAGGTTTGGTGACCCACCCAAACCTCGGACCACATATTCCGAAACCCTCGGCTCATCACACGTGGATCAGCATGTGACCTCACCGTCACATCCGGGTGAGCTGTCCAATCACACCTGGTGCATCGCATGCGATTCTGCGCCAACGGTGTAGATCATTGAGCACGGGCATGCTGTTCGCACCAGCCTATGCGCGAAAGGCATGGGTGACGCCCTGCAGTAGCAGCTTCATTCCGAATGGTGCCACGGTCGCGAGATCCGTGAGTAGCTGTGCTCACCCAGTCATCCCCTCCGTGCTCACCTATGAATCACTCTGCGTCCTCCGAATTGTAGTGAGTGCTCGTTCAGTATGGCGAAACCCAAACAGTTGGTCTCTAAGCGCAACCGGTTCTATGAATCGGAGACTAGCAGCAGCGGCGATGATGAGGACCCCGACCCGCCCGTCACCAGATCTAGGGCGTCGAACAAGGGCGACAATCCTACTGCTCCTTGCCCGCCGACTCAGGACTCCGGAAGGGCTTCTAGGTTCGCGTCTCATGTTGTGAATAAGGCGATGGAGCCCGTGCCGGACGACATGGTGGCCGCTATCGCCCGGAATTATAAGAAGGCAACGTACAGCAACGTGATGCTCATGAATCACCGCGGTGTCGGATGCACGGTGGATAAGGACGACTTCATGTCAATCGAGGACGATCAGTGGATTACAGATGGTGTCATCGACTTCCACAACGTGTAAGTACCGTTATGACGGCCGAACCCTTCACGCAGGGCTTTCCGCGGTGGTTACTGATGCCTGTAGCCAGATGTGGTAACATGTACTTGTTCACCTCTTCGCAGGCTGCTTAGCATCAGGAGACCAACGCTCCGCGACGGGAAGACATGGGCCGCCATGGACTGCAAGGCTTACACACAGACGAATTTGCACGGTGCGCCGTTAACGCTTGGGAACGGGCGGCTGCTTCTGGAACACGATTATCTGGCGATCCCGGTGCTAGAATCGTGAGTAACGTGCATAACTTGTTTATCGATGGGTTTATGTTGTGTGCCATGGTGTAATGTCTATCCACTGACACATTTAACACCGCTCATGTTGCGCGCAGTGAGCACTATTCGCTGGTCATCGCTATAAATCCATCGGTGCTCACCAAGTCGCCAAAATCGAAGTGCAAAGAGCGCTTGACGTTGGTATTGATGGACAGCGCGATCAAGCATCGGAATAGCCGCAAGATTTTAGCAGGAACAATGCTGTGAGTATGGGTTTAAACAAGTTCGTATACAGTAGCCTTGCTTGATCTGCATATTAATACCAGTTGACCTGTTGCGTTCAGTGTGCTGTCTGAGCTCGCAAAGGCGAGCTCCCCAAGCGCGAACATGGAGTTTGTGGACCAGACGCTGAAGGAGGCGGACTGTTGCATTTTACGGGTAAGTATGCAACGTTAACCGTGGACACCGATGTGCGGTTTGTACTTGATGGTGTGCATACTGATAAACAATGTGTGCGGTGCCATGTTGGCAGGAGGACAAGCTGCCACAGCAGCCTAACAAGGAGGACTGTGGGATTTTTGTTTGCCAGTACCTCAAGACCCTCGTGAATACCGACTTCGCCACGGTTCTTTCGGGCCTCTGGTTCCAGGGTGTGACACCGCACCAATACAGGAGGGAGATGCGGCGCGACCTATGTGCACACGCGAGCGGCGCTCTTTTGCAACAGCTGCAGGACATGGGAATTGAGATCCCCCCGCAAGACGAAGGCCGGGTTACCGATGAGGGTACAGTGGTGCAGTTGAAGAACGCGGCTGTGGGAGATGGGAGGACGGCACCGGTCACTCGCCCTGTGGAGGACGCACGGGTTACGGAGGTGATGAGGCGTGTAGCCTCCTTGACTAACGATGTGAGGTACCTGAACGCCACCGTCACCGTGATCGCCAACTTTGTGGGACTGAGGCGGGACGAGGTCATGTCCGCTGCAACCCAACTGCTGCTGCAGGGCGGTCACCCGGGCACCGGCACGAATGCAGAGGCGGGTGGCAACAAGACTGCGCCTCGCACACCACAGCGTCCGTCTGCTCGTAAGAGGCGGGCCGACAGCAGTCCTGAGGAGGATGGCGTGCGCAACGGCACCCGGGTAGCGCTGGCCTCCACGTTCGCTGCATGTGCGCCTGCATCGAGCCTGCTCCCGAACCCGCTGCTCTCCCAAGGTGCCATACCTCACTGGATGTTCACGCGCGGGAGGCAGCTGCTCGGGAACGGTGTGCCACCTGGAGATGCCGCGTTGGGAGACACGCACGGGCAGGAGACGCTGAAGGGCGAAGAGGAGGAGGACCTCGTGTCCGACTCAGACGACGATGGCGAGGACGAGGATACGTGTGCAACCACGTACACGGGTGTGAAGCTGGACAAACGGACTGGCAAGTTCGGCGTCAAGATCTTGATCAAAGAACGTGGAAAGCGTAAGCAGCAGCGCCTGGGAGCATACACCACGGAGGAAGAGGCGGCATTCGCGTATGCCGCTGGTGCGTTCGTCCTGAGGCCACGCGACAGGATACCCAACACCGTCACCCTGTCAGCGGCTGAGAAGGCGATGCTGCGGGGATGCACAAAAGAAGATTTGCAGATACTGGTGGAAGCAAGGAAGTGGTGGAGGTGGCGAAGCTGGCGTGACGCGCTGGAGAGCGCGAGCAGCAGGCTGAAAGGAGGGAGGAAGCGTGGGGGTGACACAGGTACATCAAAGAGGCGCAGGGTGGTGGAGAACAACAACACGGCTACCAACGAACCGGCGGCCCCCGAAAATGCAGATAGTGGGGGGACGGCCACCTTGTGCAACGGGCACGGCGGAGGTGCAAAGGAAAATGACCAGGAAGAGCAACAGTGAGACAGTGGTGCACAAGAGAAGACGGCAGCCACAGCTGCATAGTGGTTGTGGAGTCAAAGCATATGAGATATTTGTTCGTGTGTGTATTTTAATACTTATGTGTGAACACATAGCTGATCTTGAATAGTGTGCTTTCGTGGTTGTATGCCTGTGCGATCAATGCTAATGATTGTGATTTCACCACCATGTGCCTCTTTGATGAACGGATGTGGCCGGGTTGTTTTGTTCTCCGGATGCGTTATCGTGCAGTTGGTGTGCTGAATGCCGGAAAAGGTGTATGGAGTCCCTGAATACAGGAAACCGGATGTCTATACCAGAGGTAGCACAAACGATGTATATGGATACGGTAGTGTCACAAAGATGTGCGCAATGTATGGTTCTGCTGTGGACACCCGTCACCAGTATGATGACGTGCTGTTCACTCATTGGACGTTTTGGATTGCGGTCGTCCAGATGTGCACGAGGTATTCCTGGCTATCAAACTCCTCGAGTGAACGGTGTCGCGGTGTGTTTGGAAGTTGAGCTACCAACTCTAGGTAGAAAAATGGGTAGCGCGTCACTGTCAAAGCATCTCACTGGATACTTCAATTGCTATAATGGAGACCACGATGGCTTCCGAGGATACGAGGGCCGGAGGCCGCTCACGTCGTGTCTCGCAACCGCCGGCATACCTGCGTTCGTCATACCAGTTGACGATGCCGCGAGGTCGGCTGTCGAACGGGAAGCGTGGGGCGACCGTTCCCAAACGCTTGAGCTTGTCCACTAAGGGAAAGGAGGTGGCACATTCAAGCAAGGTATGCATAACGAGCGTATGTGGATGAGTCCCGACGTGTGCTGCACGCGATGTTGATCTCAGTGCTGGAACTATGGAGTAAAGCAAGATGCTAACTAGTGGTGTTGTGCTTCCCTGGTGTTTCTCTCACCCACAGATGACGGCACGGGTGCAGAGAGTGCAGATTCGTCCGAGCGCAGCGAGGAAGAGGACGAGGAAAGCGAAGACACATCGGCGCCAGGCTCACAAGAGGAATCCGCCGACCAGGGCGCTGGAGGGAAGACGCACGACGATGGATGTGCGGGAATATCCGCGGCCAATGCTGACAGGCGCACACATCAAGATGCGCGGGACACGGATGTGTCTCGAGGCGACGGCCGAGGACAGGCGGACGGACTTGTTGGCCGCACACGCGTGAACACCTTGGACGCCAACGGCGATGACGTGCGCATCCCTAGCCGGATCCTCGAGCAACTCATACAGGCGCAGGACAAGAGCGCCAAGGAGAACGCGCGTTTGGAGGCGCTGTTCTTGAATGCGATGTCTCGCCCTTCCGGTGGCTCTGGTAAGCGTAAAGCTCAGAAGCAGAGAGACCCGGGGCAGGGTTGTATGAACCCGAAGCGACAGCGTGGTGAGACGTGGAGTGGCGGGTCCGACGGCGACGGCGAGGATGACGATGACGACACGCATGGTTCTGGTGGCCGTCATATGCGTACCGCGAAGTCTCCTATTCTGCAACGCGCGTTGGAGCATTTGCCGACGGACAAGGCATGGAAGGTGAGCGGGCATGTTACCGTTGGGGCCTTTTTTTCCGTTCGTCGTGTTGGGCTGGCATGTGGGTCAGGTGATGGTTACCGGTTTGCACTTATATCATGTTTTGTGTACACCGTATGTGCGCAGAGGGTTTGCGAGCTGGCCAGGGTGCACATGTTTCTCAACAGGCCGACGTCGACGATGACCTTCTACCCGAGCAGCGACGATAAGACTCACGGAGTGTGTGCGGTGCTGGACCGCCTGCCGCATAGCTTCGCCTGTTTGGCGCTGGCGGCTGACAAGTCGCGTCGCGCGGATCTCAACAAGACGCTATCTGAGTGGAAGACAAGGGCTGCCGCACGCGTGCGAGACATTGCACTTCCCAAGCTCGGATTGTTCCGCGACGACAGGGACGCATCCAGCCCATGGGCGCCCGAGAAGGCACGCAGTATCGATAAGATCCGGGAGCGCATTGGTCTTGGCGCTGACTTCCCTGGTGAGTGCATTCTACCACTGCAGAGAGGGTTACCTACGTATGCTTATGCTGACCACCTCGTGGTTGGCGACGGCTGACACTGACAGTGCGCATGTGGTGTGCAGAAACCCTGGTGCTCACGAGCTGGGCGAACGACCGTGACGGCATGCCGTTTGCCTCCCGGGCGTTCGCGACATGCGCGAAGGCTGCATTCAGGCCCAAGAAGGCCGGGCTGGTGATGACACTGAAGGTGTACCACCTGGCCTGGTTGGAGCATGTGGTGAGTCTGTGCGCCCTATGCGAGCCATGTTTTCGAGTTGTACCGCCGCACCATTTGGGTGACACGCTGGGTGGTGGATGCGCAGGTCTCCGACTGCGTCCTCTACTGGGAGGAGAGGAAAGGCCGGCTTTCCAACTCGGCCGGCGGCAACGCACACGTCGTGGACGGCCTCAAGGTCCTGGTGAAGGAGGTCGTGGAGAGGGCGATCAGGATCCGCAACCCGGAGTATGACGCAGAGCGAGAGGCGTGGATCTGGGGGCGCCATGGACTGCGCATCTCTGCGTGCGGCCTGGAGCACATGAAGCCCACCGCAGCAGCTCAGTCCGAAGAGCCTGAGGGGGACGACGACCTCTCGGCGTCAGTTGGTGATGAGTATGCCGAAGGGCGTGTGAGGGCGTTCAACATTGAGGCGCGCACCGTTGGTGGGACAGGTGGCTGGTGTCGTGGAAGGCAGCATTATCGGTTCCGTGTCAGGGTTGTGCGCAAGATTTTTAGTGGGCACTGGATGTTGCATATGTGGGCTGCGAAGCTAGTGGGGTTATTTATATGCATGGTTACGTTGTATGCTTGTGTGTGTGTGAGTTGTTGATGGGAGAAGTATTCATTGGGGTATATGCGCATTTGACCGTACAACAAGGATACCCGTCGGTAGCGAAACACCGCGGGAATACCGTCAACCAGGTGTTTCGTTTGGCGCCGACCGCGCCGCAATTTGCGGCGCCTTTCACGGAACGTGACAGGTGTCACGGAAATGTGTGGACGTGGAAGCACCCGCGGGGCGCAAGCGTGGACATATGAGTGGATACAATGGATAAGATATGATGTCCCACCAATTGCATACAATGGTTGCACGCGCTCAAGTACGCGTGTCACCGCACGGAGCGAACGCCGCGTCGAGGTTAACGGGGGGAACGCACTGTGATATGCGGTTAGAGTGCGAGTGGTGTTCGGTTGTTATTGAGTAGCGAAGACGTCGCGAATGCGAGCCACGATGAGATGGTTTAGGGTAACTGTATGTGCGAGTACACGATCGCACGGCAAGTGTACGGGGTAGATCGATTATTTTATGCGTGACGTGTCAGCACGGTGGTGGATACGATGTACATGGATGGACGATGCAGATGGCGTCGACAGGTAGTCGCGCGTGCGTTACTACTGGTTGGCGAACGAGCTGGCGAAGTGTACGATACGGGGGCGACGCGACAGGTGTACGGTGACTATGAAATGTAGTGCAGGGTGCGGACGGGGAATGCGCAAGTGTAGTGAGGCCACGTGGTAGCATGCTAGTGGGTATCACCGGCGTGGTTTGCGGTTACCGCCCCTGTGGGTTGCCTCCAACTGTCATCTGTGTACTGGATGTGCGTCCATCAGATGTACGGTGCAGAGCCGCGCGCGATGTTGGCGCGAGCATGTGCGATGTTGTGTTCGCGAAGTCGTAACATGATGTGCGAATTTATGTGCAGGCGACACGTGAACCATTGAGATTGCGTGACCCTAGTGTTCATCCAACGGTTGGGGTGCGGGTACGTTTTGGTGCATGTACGCTGACGTGGCCATGCGGGTTGAAACAGGGTGCCACGTGGGTGTGCGCGTACGGAGTGGCAGTTGGGGTTGCGTACTCGTAGCTTTCTAGTCGAGTGGCACGGTATGGTTAGGTAAACTTTTGTGTGGCGCAACCCGTTACTGTTTAGCAACTGCCCAGATGCGGGTGCAGTGGCTAATTTGATGCACGCATATGTACAGAATGTCGCGGGAAAGTGGACTCAAAGTTGCTTTGTAAGTGACTGTCGCCATGCAGATCTAAAACCTTGACTCAAAAGTGCCGTGAAAAAAATATAGGGAATGTTGAGTAAAAGTTTCTTGCGATTTGCTTTTCGAGCTTTCCTTTTTCGCGATGACTGCCGATGGTAAGTTGCAGACCTGTGCGACGGCCAAGTCGGTGACCCGTGTGATGGCATTCGCAGACCCGCGATGGCACGTCGCAGACCCGTGCGATTGCACGTCGCAGATCCGTGCGAAAAAAAGAGTTACCTCTCAAGAGAGAGTCGCTCTGTACGGGCCATCGCTCCTCCCTCTGCACACCCCTGCATCCCACCAAGCCTCACGTCCCCACACTCCGACAACGCCTCACCTCCCCATGCCGCGGGAAAAAAAGTGCCACTCATTCCTTTTTCCCCACGCCCCTCACCCCTCCCCCCTGTCTCTTCCTCCCCTGCGCGCGAACCTATGTGCGGGCTTGGCGTGGCGGCAGGTGCGTCGGGATCGGTAGATGCCGCCGGCGGCGTCATCACGGCGGAGAGCGCGCCGAGTTTTGCCGCTGAGCCTAGCGCAGGGGACGAGCAGGGTCGCCGCGAACTCTTTATCACGACACGTAGGGTTGATCAAGCCAAGCCCCCACATATTTTTGTTCCTGCGGTTATTTTTTTGTTCTCTTTTCTATTATTTCTTGATGATACTGTACAAAAGGAGCTGGTGACTCCGTGCTGCCCATAGTGCCGGGAAGCATTATGACCGGCAGTTGGCTGTGAGGGAAGGAATCTCAGCCGTCCATTTGTTCCTGCCTCCCTTGGTGTCGCTCGTTCTCAGGCGGCCGTCCAAAGAAAAGAAGTCGACTCAATAGTCTCCCCTTTGCTCTCACCCTTTCGCAGCAATCAGCTGCGCTAACTCGAGGAATAAGGATTGTTCAAAGGTGGTGATTCTATTCTGGACTGTGAACTTCAGCGAATCTGATAAGAAAGCATGCGAGGATGAACGTACGAAAGCCATTAAGGAGTGCGAGAAGAAGGGCTACTGGTGAGTGCGAGATGCTTGTTGATGCCTCGGCTATGCCTGTTGGTGCATGGGCTGTGCTTGTTAGTGAGAGGGCAGTATCATTGCGGGGTGTGGTGCTGGTATATGGTTTCATGCACCTTGTATGTATGGTTTCATGCACCTTGTATGTGTGCGGTGTGGGTATGTGCTGTAAATCTGACTCGTGCCACCTCCCTGCCTTGTCCTTCTCTCTGCAGATCCAGCAGCTGCCTAGTGCAGTTCCAGCAGCTGCATTGTCCTTCTCTCTGCAGATCCAGCAGCTGCATTGTCTTTCTCTCTGCAGATCCAGCAGCTGCCTAGGGCGGAAGGGAGGGAGGGAAGGGGGGGAGGTGGGGGAGGGGGGGGGGGGGGGGGGGGGGGGGCGGGGAGGGGGGGGGTTAGATGTTAACCTTGTAAACATGTGGGTGGTTGTGGGTATGCTTATCCTTGTGTAGGTGGGTGGACCTCAAATAGGTGTATCTCATTATAACACCGTATTTTACCTGTCAAATCTTTGCTCCATCAGCAGCTTTTGCATGAACATTGTGTTGTAATAAATATTATAGCACTTTGTTAGCTTTCCAATGTGCCGTAGATCACCTAGATCACCTGAGTATCGAGCAAGATATGGTCGTTTATGGTCGTTTTAGATTGAACAAAGGATAGGAGCTCTCTGGATTTTGATTCAATTGCACTTTGTAGAGTGAACTCTAATATCCAGTATGAAACGTGGAAACAAGGCGAACACATTTATAGCTACTCAATACATAGAGTTGCGTATGTAACATTGTAAGGAAAATTCCCTTTTCCTTACTTCGCATCCCTGCTCAGCATACACCACTGTTCCCGCCAACAGCACCCAACAGTAATCCGTTACCACTCGCGACACTCGCCTCGACACTGTTCCCCGCCACTGTTCACGACGCAGCCCAGCCTCACGATTCGGTTGGTAACCCGCGCTCCGGACCTCCGCCTCGACATTTCCCAAACCTTGGCGCCAGGCCCGTCGCGCACCCCATTCTCACGCATTACCGTTACCACTGTAGTTTTGCTAGATATTCTTCGCTCATTGTACTCTTGCTTCGATAGTGCAATTCTCGCTCGCTCACTCAATTGCACTCGTAACACTTGGTATTCAGAGCCTACGATCTCCTCTCAGACCGCACCCATACCTTCGCTTCCCCACTATCCCAATTTTGGGGGGGGAATAGACGTCTCTCAGCGAACAAGCACCGCCGCTCGAAGTGCTCTCTCGTAAGCACGCACGGCCACGACAGAGGCTCTCGCTGAGCTCGCCCAACACCCCCGCCATGGCCGAATTTACGCTCGTGACGCTGACGAAGGAGCAGCTCGTCCGTCTGGTGCGCCAACTTAAGGGTTCGCAACTCGAGATTGCGACGCTCACGGCGGAACGCGACTCCGCGCGCCAGCAATCAGCGACGGACGCACCAGCACCAACACACGCACCAACAAATGCACCAGCGCAAACGGACGAGCCAATCGTCATCTCGTCCGGCACACCATCGCAACACGACAGCGTGGGACAGCGCTCAGGCGCAGCCAGTGATGGCGCCGCCCACTGAATGCCGGGCATGGAGAGAATCAGGGCCGCACCAAGCACGCAGGGGCCTCGCGAAGCCCGTTGGCACGTGGAGTTTGCAGCAGCGAGTGGCAACAGTGACGTCATGACACCGATGCCACTCAGGCCGCAGCGCCTGCCCTGTTTCGATCCGAGCCAACGCGGGGGACCGACGGTTCAATCGTGGATTTCACAATGAACGTCTTCTTCAACGCGAATTACGTCAAGGACGATGCAGCGAAAATCCGCTACGAGCCGATCGCGGCTTCTATTTCGGCGCGTCAGAAACTACGTACTTGGCAGCAGCTCGGGTCAGTTCAAGACTATACAAGCGATTTTCTTTCATTGTGCGAGCAAGTCGGCTACATGCACGAAGCGGAGCGGGTGGACCGTTACGTTGGGGGGCTGAAGCCGGACATCTCGCACGAGAAAATCGACCTTTTGCGCCGTCCGAGACCAGGGTCCTACTACAGACATCGCCCTCGAGGACCGACCGAGCACGCCACCGTACACGCCATTGCGACGAACGCAGCTACCGCGCCATTTAAGGGGCGCTGCTTTGCTTGCAATAGGCCAGGCCAACGCAAGAGTGAATGCCCAGAGGAGCTGAGGCGCCGCGGAGCAGAGCAGGGGAGGGAGTCTCAGAGACAGGGAAACGCCAGCAGTCAGTAGAAGTTGGGCCAACTACTGACGAGACTGCCTGCTCGCCCAACCTCACTGACCCTCACCGAGTCACAGTACCAATTCACGCCATCTATCGGCCTCGGATGAATAGGGAGGGTACAGTGATGGATTGCCCAGTACTGATTCACGGGAAATTACGGGGAGCAGCAGGCAACATTTTTATAGACAAAGGAGCAAGTCATAGCTTAGTTAGTACCGCGACCGCACGGAAACTGCAGCTGACATTTTGTCGGTGCTTACCGGAGATAGATGCACGCTTAGTTGACGGCACACCACTAGCTATTCGGGAGAAAGTGGAGAGAGTAAAAGTTCGCTGCGGGGGGAACTTCGGGTTTACACAGGAAATGCTCGCGACGACATTGGATGGGCACGACATTTTACTGGGACGTGATTGGCTTCGATGATATAACCCGCGAATCGACTGGACGACGGGTAGCTGCACTGTGCGAAGTTGCGGTAACTGGGTTGAGCTACCTCGCTGGCAGTCGCCCGAGTCTTCAACGGTCCACGTTGGCGCCATCTCAATGAAACGGGCTGTCGCCACTGGAGCTGACGTGTACGCGGTGGAGATTGCAGTGGTAGGAGAAGCCGAGCAGCCGAGCGATTTTCAGAAACTGCTGGCAGCGGTACCGCCCGAACTACAGGAACTGTTGAAACGGTACTCGGAGATCTTTCCCGATGACCTACCGGAGGGACTGCCACCTCAGCGAGCACACGATCACAAAATAGAATTAGAACCGGGGGC